GAGAGTTTGCGTGAGAGTCACATGTGCATGAGAGTCACACACCTGAGAGACCATTATTTTTGCTCCCAAAACAATTAATTGTTGAGGGCCACGTGTGCAGGTTATTCCCTTGAAGCAGTTCACAAGTTCAAGCATCTCTCAAGCACAAGCTCACATTTCTCAAGCACAAGCTCGCTCGCCCTCCAGCACCTCTCAAGCACAAATTCATATCCGGAACACGCCACAGCACCAAAAAACAGTTGCACATGCACGCACACAAACCAATCAAAACATCTTCTGCGGCCGCGTTGTTGATGGCATGCAAAATGTCAATTTGACAAAATCTCAAACAAGGACATATAACTGCGACCGTCGGCCAACTATTGCTGAAGATGTCGTGTCAGCTCAAGCCAGGCAGGGGCCCCAAAACATAGATCCTTTTTCAGAAACTTGACAGCTTCAGACTCGCCGTGATGCAAACCTGCCCTATCTTTCCATGAGAGAAGACAACGTTTTTTAGCAAAACTGCGCTTGACATTGCAATGCGGAAATTTTTGCAAAAACATGAACATTGCAGTTTGCAATCGCCATATTGCAGTTTGCAATCGCTATATTGCAGTTTGACATGTTTATATTGCAGTTTGCGTTTTGTACATTTTTTTAGTCTCGGTGGCCGCGACTAAATTTACTCCCCAACGGGGCTAATTTACTCCCATGGCTCCGGGAGTAAATTTAGCCGCGCGAGTCTAATTTCTTCCGCGGCTATTTTTAGACTCGATGGATCTATTAGGTACGAGGAGACCGTGGGCACTGTTGCAGGACGGGAGGCGGCAAAGGAGTTGATGAGACTGCTCTCGTGCGATTTCGACGGCTTGGTCATCAATTCAAAGAGAGTCTCGGAGTTATTCGAGGAACGTGTGCTGAAGGAGACCGGACGCGAGGCTGGAAACTGGGTGAAAAGTGACCAGGCCATCTGGTTCCTGAAGGAGATTTCGGGTATGGAGAACGCTGAGATGTCTTGGAAGTTCTTCATTCCGACGCTTAAAGCTTTCCCGATAGGGCAAGTGGAGGCGATGCTCATGGTCATGTACGACGGGGATGGCGTTCTCCTCAAGGAGAGCACCAGGTTGGTTGCCGTTAGGCACACGCGGATCGGACGCGACTTGAGTTACAGTGCCGTTAGGCACAGGTATACTCAGGAAGATGCACCTGGCGGATCTCTGATGTATGAGATGCATTGGAATGAACTCCCCATGGTGGGATACGTCATCATGAAGTTCTCGGACTTTCGGAAGGCGGTTCAGCTCCAAAGGGTGAGGCGAAATGGAAAGGCCATGATCGAGATATTGATCACGAGGCCCGATGTGTACGAGACCATTGGGGATGGTAGGCAGGATGAGGGCCTGATCCCACTTGTGGGAGCCATGGCGCCGGATGCTGAGGTATCGCCTTCGTGGTATGTCAGGGACAGGCTGCGGAACTACTCCGGTAGGTACGTGGTGGTAATGGTGGATCTTCGGGTGCACTGGTCCTTGGTTGGACCCGTGTTTTTGACGAGAAGGAAGACTCTTGCCGTTAGGAACGAGATCCACATGGGGGCTTGGAAGGCGGCGTATATGTACGATGATTACACGATAGTGTACCATCGGGCATGGGACTACGGTGACTTCACCCCCGTTAGGGGAGAGCACAAGCGATCACGGGAAGAGATCAGGCTGAATGTGACTGCCACGTTCTGCTTGAGGTGCGCAGAATTGATGCCGAATGGGATGCACTTGTGTCCCGGGTGCGCGCTCCCGGTCTTTTACCCGAACTTTATCCCCAACGCGGAGGAAAAGGACTTCGAAACGTGCCACATCGTGCCGGAGTGGGTGAGGACCATGGGGCAGTTCAAGCCCAGGAGGATTCCCTCCGAAGTGGTCGGAGTCATCAAGAGGAATTTGATTTCCTATTCAATGGCATCCGATCTGAGGATGACGGTGCAGAGCGGCATCAGACTTCCCCCTTATCTTGGTGAAGACAAGGGAGGTGTCGATGCGGCGTGGGATGAGCTGGCGAAGGTGCTCTTCCAATTCTCCTATGTGTCCGGGATTTCGGCCTCGGATGCGTTCGTGGAGAAGTGGGTGGCGAAGCACCTGATCAAGACCAACCAAGTCGATAGATTTGAGTCGGTCACGGAGTACTTCCGGGCCAACCCAAGACACGCTGCTCAGTGGGGTAGGCGTATGACGACTTCCGTTAGGAAGTTCGCTCGTCATGACACGTACTTGTCATTCTATATTCCGATGGCATACGTGATTGGTTCTGCGGCTGGTCATCTGACCCCATTGTACCCGACCCATCGAAAGGACGTGGACATCCTGGAGAGTCATGCGTTGATTTCGCAGCTCAGGAAGTACATGGTATCGGAGACGGGGTACGATGAGAAGAAGAGGTTGAAGGAGGCGATAGCCAAGGTGCAGAAGGCGATCAGCGCCGGACAGTCGGAGCCTCCCGCACCCTTCCGTGACCCGTTCGTCTACGTTAGTGACGAAAGGGTGAGGACGGTTCTTGACGGTCGTCAACCCGAACCTTTGAACGTGGACATCGAGGGACTCCAATCGGTGCATCATGCTGCGCCGGGTCCTGGTCCCAAGCAGGAGCCGGTCCCCAAGGGCGGAAAAGGAAAAGGGAAGAAGGGGGAAAAGGGCGGTAAGGGCGGTAGTCCTTCCGGCCCGCCACCAAAATCAGGTGAAGTGCCAGGTAAAGGATCCGGTAAGGGCGGTAGCCCATCCGTCCCAAAGGCGAAGGATGATGCTGGACCTGCTCCGATGGAGGTTGATACAGCAGCAGCTCAGCCGAAGAAGTCTTGGGCCGAGATGGTGGTTGAAGGGGCCAGGCCGAGTGCCAAGGCTAAAATGACCCCGATTCCTAAGGCCGAGCCGAGAGGGAAGGCCGCTTCAGCTTCTGAGGCGAAGGGTGCTCCGGCTCCAAAAGCTGTGGCTAAGGAGACGAAGCAGGCCGAACCGAAGGTTGAGGTCAAGAAGGAGAAGACAGGCGGAGGTGACGCTCCCGGCGGTAGCCGCGGGTCGGCCGAAGGGCAGAAGAGAGAAAGGAAGTCCCGTTGGGATCCCGACGAGGCTGCGAAGGAGTCGACAAAGCGGGAGGCGTCCACGAGGCCTGGCGACGTCGACAGCAGACCAGGTGCGGCAGCGAGAGAAGCTAGCGGGGATGATCTTCACTCCGCGCTTGGCAGATCTTCGGCAAAGGATGCGGTAGCGCCTTTGACGGCCTCCAAGGCGATGGCAAAGAAGCCTGAAGGCGGGGAGATCCGGCTGCAGTCTGCTGAGCGGGCTGCGGCGAGCCCGGTGGAGGGTCACTTCCTGGTGCTGCCTGAGAGTTCGGTGGTGGACGCTTTCTTGTCGATCTCCACCAACAGAGTGCTGAACAAGCAGGTCAGGGATTTCATCAGGAATGGTGAGGACGCGTCGGCACTGGAGGCTCTCAACCAGATCGTGACGAACTCTCGATCTGGGAGGAGGCATAGGGAATCGGATGTTTCCCGTACTCCTTCTCGGAGGTCCGTTAGGACCGTGGACACCAGGGATTCCAGAGAGTCGAGGAGGCGCAGATACCGTCCGCGGCGCGAGGATGATCGCGACAGGAGGAGGGACGATGCTCGTGATCGTCGTGATGATGATTCACTCGATCGGGAGCGAGATCGAAGGCGAGATGATCGCAGGAGATCCGAAAGGGATCGTGACAGGGACCGTGCGCGGGGCGGACGTGACCGGAGGAGACGTGACGATAGCCGGTAGGCTGAGTCACGAGGATTGCGGCCGATAGGCTTGCGTCCATTCTCCAATGGTCGGCGCGGTGCGGAGGTGGTGATGTTCCTCCCGGACCGCTGAGGCGCGGAGGTCATGTCTCTCCCATACCGCTGCTGGGCTGCTGGACGTGTTCATCAGGGAGCAGTGTGAGTGAGAGGGAAAGCAAACTGATGGGGGGTTACTCCCGGGTTTGCTGAATTCAAGCATTTTTATTCAGGTACGCATGGTCAGGAGTACCTCTTGCCGTTAGGCGAGGGTACTAATGGACATACGTTATCTTTTATTTCATGGCTTCTGATAAGAATTAAACTTCTTGCATTGTTGATGCAAACAGTTGTGACCTAGTGTCGTCATGTGGACTTTTCCACAAGGTTTGTTGGACAGCGTTACCCCGATTAATTCGGGGTGGTGGCGGGAATTTAATGCCCGGGATGTCGCGCAACTGCCTTTGTGGGTTTGCTCCACCGCTGACGGCGGTAGTGTCCAGCTGTTTGCGGACGCATGCGAGCAGTTAAATCCTATCAGTAAATGGCACGCTCCACCCGTCATATGACGGGCTCCTCGTGAGGGGGGTGTGATTAGCCATGGTTCATATCATCATCAGGGACGTCGCGTTAGTGACCGACCTGTGGTGTTTTGGCTCAAGTTTTGGGTTCCGTCGCGCCTCGAATGGGCGTCGCCGAACCCCTGCGTCGACCGACGGCATCTCGGGGGAGAAAGAGACCTCGGGCCGCCGCCAGGTTGGTAGGGACCAGTCGTGCGGCCTGTTGTCGACCAAGGTTGCGGGTTAACCCTTTTCTTGTTTGGTTTGTTTCCTTTTGGTTGTTGTTCTCTGGTGTGTGGGAAACCCTGATCTTTGGGACCGGGGATTGGTTTGTTTTTGGGGAACCTTTCTTTTGTGGCTTGTTTACCCCAACTTACCCATTGCCTGGGCACAGGCTCGTGCCCGAATCACAGAAAACAAAGCCCGCGAAAGCAAAACATGGGGTCGCGACAGGGTCCGCGAAAGAAAGTTCATAGGACCGCTTTTTACACAAGAGTATTTGGCACGGCTCATCTGTCTCTTTCTTTTGTTCTTTCTCTGTCTCTTTTGTTTAAATCTCTCTCTCTCTCTCTTTCTCTTTCTCTCTTTCTCTCTCTCTCTTCTCGCCTTTGTCCTTTTGTTTTTCGATCCCTTTCTCTTCTTTTCCCAAATTGCTTGAGTCCAGCCAGGTACATGGTCTACGGCCGGGAGGGCGTGTTCGACGCCGACCGTCTCATTGACCTTCTGCGCGCGCTGGAGGTGGGTGTCTCCGAGCCTTCCATCTGCGCGGGTCTGTTGGGAAACCCTTTGGGTGCGGTGGCCTTAGTGTGGTCAGAAATCGATGGGTTCCACTGGTCTAGATGGGCTTTCCATTTCTCAGGGCCGTCTTTTTTGTACGACAAGGTCACCTATGGTAAGTTCAAAACCCATGGCCACAATCACCCGGGTAGATTTCCGAGGGGCAATCCCAATAAATTGTTGCCGATATTTGCCTTAACTCTCCACATGGTTTTAGGTATCGTCATACCTAGTTTTGATTATGACTCGCATGTTCAAAAAAGGGCGCGATTGGATTTCGCGGCGTTGTCTCCAGAACGGACTTCGGTTTCCATGCTGGTTTTGTTTGGAACACAAGCCCCAAACAACGGCTACCCTCCACGAGGCGACGCGATCGACGTGCGGTTTCAATAGGAACCCCAGAAAGTGCGGGCGCATCTCCACAGAGACGCCTATCTTAAAAGTGGGTGTATGAAGGTTAGCCTTGCTGGGCATCGTGTCCATGGGGATTTATGTCCAACCGTTGTTGCAGGGGTTCCATTCAAAGTTCATAGCCAGATGAACTCCGCAATTCCAGTAGTGAGGTAGATTCCCTGAACAAAAACAAGAGGCGACGGGATCCTTTCCAGGCAATTGGGTGTGGGTCAAAATGAAACCACCAGAATATGGACCGCAGGTTTTAGTCCAGGTTTCCATTAATTTGCCTTTTGGTTCCATGTCCCATTTGCCCTTTGGTTCCATGTTCCATTTGCCCTTTGGTTCCTTGTTTCTTTAGTCCATGTTCCATTTTGGGGTTACCTTTTGTTTGACCCACAGCCAATTCTGGCTGTCCAACCGCCTTTTTCGAGGCCTTCCGGCTCACTGAGAGGGCCCCAGATCCAGAGGAGCTGCAACGAGCGGCAAGCGCCAAGGCACGCGGAAAGCGCCGGCTCCAGCAGGGCGGGTTGAGGGTCAGTACTGGCACCTTCCATTTCCTGAAATGAGTACCTGGAGTCTCCATGAGCCTTTACAAATGGGGTCATCGCCCCAAAATTAAGGGGTTATGAGCCCTTTTGCTGGGGGTCATGGAGACTGGTGCAGCTCAACATTTTCCAGAGCTAGGGCATTCCAACCAGGTTTTAGTGGTTGGTTCCATTTGCCAAGGTGCCATTTTGGTCTCCATATTTGTGAGCGGCGCCATTTTTTGCGCACGTCGGCTTGCGCCAGGCGGCCAGTGGAGTGTCGGGCCTGGTGCAAGACAGCTCCCGCACAGAATCTTGGAGAACATGGTTGTTGTTGGGAAATGTTGTTTGTATGTTTGCTTATTGTGGTTTAGTGGTTGAAATCCCCACTTAGCTGCTAAAATTGAAGTTTTTGCTCCCCTTCCAACGTCAACCAAGAGAAGATCAGTACACGAATGTTCCACTTGCGAATCCGCAAGGCCTTGGACCTGTTAGTTTCCTTTGTTTGGGTTCCCATTTGGCCCACGCGCATTGATTTGTTCTTGGTTTTCCTCCAACCTAATCTCAGAATAGGGTACCCTCAAAACAGCACATTTGCCACGAGGCCGCAGTAAGAAACCCACGTCATCGAAGCTTTGGAACCCTCCAATCATTTTCTGAGGAGAAAGGTCCAGGTACCGTGGATGGGAGGAAGACGGCATTTGAGTAAGGCTTCTGCTACTTCCGGGCCTGGCAGGTCTCCCTAGGCCAAGGTCACAACATCTCCATGGGTGACGCAACCCGAACAAGGGGTACAGTGGTGGGCTTGGACATTGCCCCGCCCCAAGCAAAGCTATGCCACACAGAGGGAATCCAGAGAAATTGAAGGAAGAACATCGCATGTGTTTTGACAGCTGCTTGAAGAGATGTTTGAACATAGGTGTCCTTTTTGGTTGTTTTGGTAGAAACATAGAGGGCCCTGGTTTACCTGGTGGTTTAATCATCTACCAGGGCCATCTATTTGCCCCAAAAGGACACCTATGTGTTTGAAGCTTTTTCTTGTGCGTGTCCGGCTGAGGACACCAAAGTCCGCCAGGCCACTTGGGCAGCTTCGACGTCACCTCGGTTGGTTTCCATTCGGTTGGCACTGTTTCAAGGGGCACATCTCACTTGCCCAAAGCCATCCAATGCCCACCTTTAATCTCTGTGTTTGTTTGTTTTTTTGACAAGAGGGGTTCGATCGACAAAATACCAATCCAAATAACCCAGGCGTTTGGCTAAATTGGGCGTTCAAGCAATTACCGGTTGTGATCATGGTTGTATACTTCTGAGTGGTACCAAGTTACCCACTCACGGCTTTACCCTGCACAACCCTAAGTTGCATGAAGGTGGGTGTTCTTCAAAAGGGACCAATTCCTTGGTCGGTTGGCTTCCTTTTGCTTTCCACCTACCATCCACACCTCACTTGCGCAGTTCATCGACTTTAAACATTTTGGGAAGACCATCTCAGTGGAAAACAACAGGTTTGGTGAGTTTTTTTCGTTGCCATCCGCTTCAACCGGAAGTGAGACACAGGGTCCCTTCATTTGGTAGCTTCTGGTGGTTTTGGGTGGCTTTGGTGTGGCTTTTGGTGTGGCTTCTGGTGGCCTCCGGTAGCTTTTCGTGTGGCTTTTCGCGGCTGTTTGTGGCCTCTCATGGCTTTCAGTGTGGCTTTTCGTTGCTTTCAGTGTGGCTTTTGGTGGCTTTTGGGCTTTTGGGGTGGCTATTGGTGGCTCCCCTCCCAGCAGACAAACAAAAAGCATCGGTTCAGGTTCAGATGTCCAGCGAGCGCGTGGGCGACCGCCCCACCTCCTGGGCCATGGCCACCGCCGAGTCCGGCGACGGGGCGAGGGAAGCGCTCACGTTTCTGCTGTCGCCGGACGGGGCGTCTCTCGGCCGAGACGGATCCAAAGGGATTGGGGGCTGGGTGGGTGGGGTGGGGGGTGGTGGCGGGGGAGTGGGTGGGGAGTGGGTGGGGGATGTGCTTGCTTCGGTGTTTTTTTGGGGAAAGCAAAGGGACACTAAGCAATATCCCTATGTTGACACATTCCCAATGCTGACAACAAGGAAACAACAGGGTGACGGGGCCTTCTTGCTTGCTTGCTTGAGGATCTGCACCCCTTTTGTTTTTTTTGGGGAAAGCAGAAAACCCCTTTTTGAGCTGCTTTTTTTTTGGGTGGGCTAGGTGGGTGGGGTGGGGGTGGGTGGGGTGTGTGCTTGCTTGCTTCCTTTTTTTTGGGGGGGAGAAAGCGAAGGCAAGCTAAGCCATTTTCATAAATTTTGACACACATACTGACGACTAGAAAGCTGGGTGAAGGGGTGAAGGCCCTTCTGACCGAATTCCTTGGTTTCACTGGTAGCTCAAACTCGCTTGAGCAGACTTGTTCTTTGGCTTTGTATTCGCTTTGTATTCGGCGGGGAACTCTCTTGCCGCGAAGGCACCGCGGAGGCAGTTCTGGTGTGGAAAGTCGCATCAGTACGCGTAGGCTGTTCAAGAAATTCCTGCGCCAGGTGCGCGCGGGTGTGTGTTTTTCCTCGGACATACTAAAGAGTAGCGCCCGAGCAAAGTCTGAACACGCAGCGCACGCGCTTGGCGTCTTGCGTTGCCCGTGTATAGGAGCGATGCACTCAAAAAATATATTATCTTGCACAAGTGCGGTTGTTCCTAGGTGAAGGTCTCAAAAGGTAAACCTGTTCCAGTTGAGCGAGGCATGGCCCACATCCCTCATGTTGGTTCAGTCATCCCGCTTGACCACATAAAGGGAGTAGTGCCATCTACGTTTCACCTTGGTGCAACTGGTGCACCATATTTTAGGCTGGACTGCATCTGAAGGGCAATCTGAGCTCACTGATTTTATGATTATGTTTTGATGTGGCTTTAACGTCCACCAGACTCGCAAACTATCCTTTCCGGAGTAGGTTTGAGGGTCCAGTTTAAAGTGAATTGAATCCCTCTCTTTTGGCTTGCAATTGAACATCCCCAAGCTGAGTTGACGCCGGATTCTCGGGCACCCCATCTTTTGACCTTGCGAATGCTCGCCAGGTTTTTCCGCGCCCCAGCTGCAAAGAAGAGCCGAGCAGAGAGCGGTTTTGGACAGAGCATCCACCTCAAAGGAAGCCAATTTGATTGTGCGGTTTGGGGATCTGGGATTACTCATTTCGCATTCGCTTGCTGTTGCTTGTTTGATTGATGTTTTGCCTCAGGGTTTGCCTCTGGACCACCTGTGTGAGCATGAAGAGAACCTAGCTGTTTCCATTAATGCAGATGCCCTCTTCAAACAAGTCTCTTCAGTTCTTGCGATCTCTGAAGCTCGCTACTGGAAACTTGGGAACCGGTTTTGGGTAATTTGGTACGAACTTCCCGTCACCTCGCTTCCTCTCAGGCGATTTTCTCGTCGAAGAGCTTCCTGGCGGCAACCAATGCAATTTAGTAGTATTGATCATCATGTAGTTACGTCGTAGGTGTTTGTGTAGTAGCAGCTCTACAGGCAATGCATCCAGTTGCATCATTCGGCCTTGCGGCACACTCCGAAAACTCCCACCACTCAGAGTCCCGAGCTTTGCATTCGGTAGCAGCTTATGCTTGAGCACGGGGCCCTGCTTCTAGTTTGGAATCGGTTTTATATTAGTCATGTTTGTGGGTCCTAGTCTAGTAACATTTGAGCATTACTTGAGCAGGAGTTCTTAATAACATGTTCGCTTCAGACTATTTATATAGTATAGCCGTAGCATCAATTCAATAGTAGCTTGGTGTTGGCTTAGCCTTGCTGAAGAATTGCTTTGAAACGCCGAGGTTTTCCGTTTCGTAGAGCCAGTAAAGTGAAAATCCAAGATCCGCGGACAATGTAACCATTATTTGCTTCGGGCAGTTTTATTTATTTTGCGTTTCCCTTGTGAAACTAACTCCCAAAGGTAGAACTGTTTGTTTCTTCAGGCAGTTTGATTTGTTTGTGTTTTTTCCTGGAAAAGTAATCTGGCAATAATTAAAACGGTTGGGCAGCACATAAAAAGTCAAGAAACATGTTTCTCTTCAGGCAGTCTTACTGCTTAATCTGTCCAAGTAAAGTAAAGAAACGAACTTCCAAAATGCAACTTATTGCTTTTCTTCGTGCGATGTTGCTTTTCCATCGGAAACGAACAAAGGCAACAAAGTAAAGTTTGTGGCCTACTTTCCCACAACTGTCCGTGAGTTTCTGACCTTTTTCATATTGTTTCCAAGGAAGCCAACAACCAGCCCACCATGTTGGGTGTGTTGTTGTACCCTTGTTGGTCAGTGTCAAAGGGAAACCAACAGGAGAATCACCAGGTCACAAGTTTGGTGGGCCCCCGCAAAAAAATGAAAAAGAAAAGACAAGCAACTTCCGTTTCGGGGTGTTCTTGATCCCCAAGGGACGTGTTTTTTTTTCCCCCCGAGGATCGGTTTATCCCCGAAACGGGGGGGGCGTGGCTGTTTTACCCGAGGACGGTCAAGGGCATCGACTGCCTCGGCCGCGGCGGTATCCAGAGATTGGGCAAGCGCTTAGCCAACGCCTCGCCCCTGAGGCGGACTCGTGGCGCCGGGTTTTCGGACGGCGCCGACGCCAACCCCTGTTGGCGGTTTATCGCGGCATCTTAGGTGGGATTGAAGGGAGACAAACAGCAACATCAACATTTTGTGGGGTCCCGAAACAAGGACCGCCAGATAAACCTCTGGAGTTATGGTGGTAGAAGAAAGTTAATGGTTTCGGCGTGCTGCTCATTGGATGAAAGAAGATTGCACCATTTCTTCATGTGGGTTTTATCTCCTTTCCCCACATGGGAATTGTGAAATCCACTTTCACTCTAGTGCGCAGGGCTCCGATTTTGGAATACTATGTGCATTGCCCCAGTTCTCCCTTATGGAGAATGACATCTACCACCCCTGGGGTTGAGCCTACTTTGGGGTAACGCAAACACATGATCTATGTTGTTGCGAGCGCGGCGATGCAAAGCGCACCGTTCACGGAGATATGACGAGGCCCTGATGCAGGTCCAGCACTTCTGGATCAAATGGTTGCAGGTTTTGGAATTATCGTCCAATGTGCAGACTATATCCAAGCACGCGTTGAAACACATTGTTTGAACAACCCTCTTGCGTTCCCCTCCAATGACGGCTAGTCATTTCAACATACACTTTGCCCGACCCGTGTGCAAATGCCAGTTATCCGGCGGCACTATTTGCCATTTGGCATGTACCCAAACGTCCCACGAACTACACCCTATGCTTCCAAAGCCTATTTAACAAATAGTCGTTGTGACAACCCCGGTTTTTTGATAAAGACCATTTTTTTGATGACGAGCGGCAGCCTCCGTTTTGGACTGGAACACGGACTAGGAAAGACTTGACGCTAAGGCCGCCTCATAGGATCCCAAGGCCGAATATGTATTTTCATATGCAGCAATATGTGTTACAATCTTCAAGGCTAGTTGCTTCTATTTTGGTTGGTTTCTTAACATGGCCATGTAGCGCTTGAGGGTGAATCCTCTTCTGACCGTTTCTGTCCTTCTTTTGCCCCACCTTGTTAGCCAAACCAAACAAAACGGGACAGCAAAAATCTTTAGAACTTCACGGCAACCATTCCAGGATGAGAATGTTGATCTTCTGGGTCCCCTGCAAAGTTTGCCGGTTCTATGCCAAAAAATAGTGGTTCTACGCCAAAAAATAGTGGTTCTACCACTTTTTGCGGTTTTTCTACGCTTTGTCTACGGTTTGTCTACGCTCACGTCGTTTTTGGAGCTGTGTGAAAATTGGAGCTGAAAAAACAAGCACTCAATTGCTTGTTGTTCGTGCCACCTGCGCAAATTGCAGAGGACAATTCTAGAATTTGCTAGAATGAAGGCTCCGTCTACGCAAGACTTTCAGCGTGCATTGCGCAAACACGAAAGGGCGCCGAGGACCCTATCAATAAATAGCAATCTATTGGCTCCCAAGGCTTCTTAAGAGGTTGCAATAGCAGGCGTAATTTCGATAAAAAACAAAGTATCAACCCAAAATGGACCCCAAAGGCCAATGTAAAAAATAGGGGTTGTCAATGCAAAAAATAGGGGTTGAACAACCCCTATTTAAAAAATAGTCGAGGAATCATAGGGTACAGGGGTTTGATGGGATACACACACACTAAACTGCCAGTAGATTTATGAAGCCCACCATACATAGGACATTAGACCCTAATTATACTAGACACCCACTGCATGTAACCACTGAATATACAGCCACTGTATAAAAAGGTACATAACAAATAAATAGACAAATCAATCAATACCCTATGCTTCCAAAGCCTATTTAAAAAATAGTCGTTGTGACAACCCCGGTTTTTTGATAAAGACTTTTTTTTTGATGACGAGCGGCAGCCTCCGTTTTGGACTGGAACAGGGGCTAGGAAAGACTTGACGCAAAGGCCGCCTCATAGGATCCCAAAGCCGAATATGTATTTTCATATGCAGCAATATGTGTTACAATCTTCAAGGCTAGTTGCTTCTATTTTGCTTGGTTTCTTAACATGGCCATGTAGCGCGTGAGGGTGAATCCTCTTCTGACCGTTTCTGTTCTTCTTTTGCCCCACCTTCTTAGCCAAACCAAACAAAACGGGACAGGAAAAATCTTTACCCATCACGGCAACCATTCCAGGATGAGAATGTTGATCTTCTGGGTCCCCTGCAAAATTTGCCGGTTCTACGCCAACAAATAGTGGTTCTACGCCAAAAAATGGTGGTTCTACCACTTTTTGCGGTTTTTCTACGCTTTGTCTACGGTTTGTCTACGCTCACGTCGTTTTTGGAGCTGTGTGAAAATTGGAGCGGAAAAAACAAGCACACAATTGCTTGTTGTTCGTGCCACCTGCGCAAATTGCAGAGGACAATTCTAGAATTTGCTAGAATGAAGGCTCCGTCTACGCAAGACTTTCAGCGTGCATTGCGCAAACACGAAAGGGCGCCGAGGACCCTATCAATAAATAGCAATCTACTGGCTCCCAAGGCTTCTTAAGAGGTTGCAATAGCAGGCAAAATTTTGATAAAAACAAAGTAAAAACCCAAAATGGACCCCAAAGGCCAATGTCAAACAATAGGGGTTGTCAATGCAAAAAATAGGGGTTGAACAACCCCTATTTAAAAAATAGTCGAGGAAACATAGGGAATATATATATATATACACATGGACACTGTGCAAAAGGGCATACCCCCAACATGTTCCATGTTTGGGCCCTTTTTCGGCTGGGGTTTTCAGTGCGTAGGCTTCTGCCGGGCATCGGCCCGGCGCTGCTGCAGAGCCCCTTGGGCCCCTTCGGCGACATCTTCGCTCCGCCGCTCACGGCGGAGGAGGAGCCCTTTGGCGAAGCGAGCGGCGGGAGGGCTGGGCTTGGAGTTGGTGTCAGGTTGGTTTTAGGGTGAGGAAGGTGGGTTTAGGGTTATTTCAGGTTTGTTTAGGGATATTTTAGGTGGGTTTGGGGTTAAATCAGGTGGGTTTAGGGTCAATTCAGGTTGGGTTTAGGGCCGGTTTAATTTGGGGAGCGAAGCGAGGGTGGGGTTGGAGTCGGTTTTAGGTTGGTTTAGGGTGGCTTTGGGTAAGGGTTGGTTTAGACTGGGCTTGGGGTTGGTTTAGGTTTTATTGAGGCGGGTTTCGGGTTAATTCAGAGGGGCTTTAGGGTTTCGTTGGGTTTGGGTTAGTTTTTCTTTAGGTTTGGCCTAGGTTTGTTTAGGGGCGGTTTAAGGTGGATTTAGGGTTTGTTTAAGATTGGTTTTGGGCAAGTTTAGGGTGGGTTCAGGGTTGATTTAGGGTTCGTTCAGGGCGGGCTTAGGGTTGGTTGAATTTGAGTCATGTTGGTGTAGGGTTGGTTCGGGCGTTGTTTCGTGCGTTTTCAAAGCCTGTCGGCATGTTTTCGACTGGCCGGTGCACTTCCCAAGCAGATTTCGCTTCAAGCAAGCCCCTGCCCCCCCTTGGAAGGCACTGCGGCACTGTGTGCGTGGAAGCATTGCCTTGCGACGCCCTGTTGCTTTGTAGCGCATCAAGCACAGCGCGCTGACAATGCGAGACGTGCGCTGGATGTCGGCATGGAGGTCGGCAAGTCAAACGGAGTTTTGTTCCGTTTGATGTCCCGGTGACATGCTCACGTGGGTTCTCTCCTTGCGCACCCATGTCATCAGAATGAGGGGTTCCCCCATCGTCTTGTCAAGTTTGATCGGTGCAGGGCAAGCGCCTAAAGCTGAGGCTGCGGGGGCACGCTGATTTCCCGGCGCATATGGGAGGGGATCTCCTTTTGGGGGAACCCGGTATCCCATTTCTGGTGCCCGTGCGAGTTTTGCTGGGGATTATTTCTGACTCCTGCCTGTTGACACAGTTTTCTGGCAGCAAGGATCCACTCAGTGTTGTTCCTCCAGAAGTCTCCCAAAACTAGGTCCTTTTGGGATCTTGGTTTGAGAGTAGTGGACGCCATCTTGGGATGTAGCGTGCGTGCAGTTGCGACACGTTGGTAGAACTAAGAACATGGTGCGTCAGGTGCCATGACTTCTCTCTCTCTCTCTCTGAGTGCAGACCGCGCCATATTCGAACCACAAAAAGGCGGGCTGTGGGAAGGAACAGAAACCGTGCCGCTTTGGGACGTACAGCGCGTGAGGGGATCCACGGGTGTGGGAAACCCGAAACCAAATCGACCAAGGAAGGTGGTGGACAACACCACAAAGATCATAGCTCCTTGGCCCACAGAAAGCCAATGGATCATATGGCCATGGGTCAAAACCGTTTTGGTACCATTTTGGGGTAGGTGCACAACCCATTTTAGTCCATTTTAGTTGGGATTTGGATACGGGATTTTGACCCATAGCCATATATGTTGCGTGTGTGGGTGTGTGATTTTTGTTGAGTTGTGTATTTGTTCAGGTTGATTTCAAGGGAGCGTAGGATGAAGACCGACATCCATTTTGTGGTCCAAACCCTATTTTGACACACGCCCAAGATCAGTACGTGAGTGGTCTAAGTCCATGGTTAGTTTGGGAAGGACGCGGAGGACCTACTCCTATTTCCAACGGACTCTTGTTCCAAAGAGCCTTGCCCGGTTTACTAACTTAGAGCCAGCAAGGGGAGGCAATCTGACTAGGGGAGGCAATCGGACTAGGGGCCATGGGCCATTGCGGGCCATGAATTTCCCTGGGTTCCTTTTGCTATCGCTTTGAGTCGGTATCGGGACGCAGTACGGTCCGGTGAGCAGAGTAGTATCCAGAGAAGGAGCGGCAATGGCAAGCCACGATGAATACTTGGGTGTTCGTTGCCAACTTAGTAAGTTGTTGGTGACCTAGGCTATACCTCACTAATAAGTCCCACTAGGTGGGGTTAACCTTATTATTAGGGGGTTGCAGTCCAAGTAGCTAACCGCCAACTGACTTGGCGAAGCGAACATCCCCTGGACCTTGTTTGATACCTCATTCTTTGCTCGCTTTTTTTTTCTGCTCGAACAAACAGTTTGTGCCCGATTCTTCAATTTCTGCCCGAGCAATGGAAACGTGCCCGAGGTTATATGTTCAAATGAGCACTTTTCAAATGCGCGGTCGTTTGCGGGTTTTTGCGCTCGTTTTGCGGGCAGTTGCGGGCGTTGTTGCTCACAATTTCTGCTCGAGTAGGTCATATTAGGACCTGACAGTTGGCATGCCTCCAAAAACTGCTCGAGGTCCAACAAAAATGGACACGCCAAGAAAACAGGTACGAACTCCAAAAACCAGCCGATTGACAGGGGATGCAGAAATTTCAGGTACGTTGGAAGGCCCAGGCCAAGAAGGGCTCAAGTGGCGCCATGTTGGAGAGAACACCCTCCTTTGAATCCAGGGGTTTGCTTGTCCATTTCTTGGTGTTTGCGGGCTGCGTGGGAAATGGATGCCTACCCATTGGCTGCTGATTCCGGCACAGGGTATGGGAATCGGGGTTCTTCAGCGAGTGCCTTTACACGTTTTGTGAGGGGGTCGATCAAGTTGGGGGGGCAGAGCAAGACCCTGTATATTATATATATATATATATATGTGCGTTGTATGTGTATATAACAGAGACACCTCTTGTTCTGTTTTGCTTCCAAACAGTTTTTAGAACTTGCCTAGTCACGCGAGTCCCAGGCCTTCCTCCTGGGAGATGCCGAGCTAGCGCAGGACGCCGGAGGTGAGGGCTGGATGAAAATCCGTCCAAAACCTGGTGAAATCCGGCACTGAAGCTTTCTGGTGAGAGATCAGGGACTTCATGTATTGAGAAGACCATCTTGGATGGGTCAAATTTATGTCAGACCTAGTCCATGTTTCCTACGGTTTCCAAAATAGGGGTTACCCTATTTTGCCCAAAATGCACCCTGTGGCAGCCAAGTCTTTTTCGGGGGCCTCGCTAGGCTTCGTGTCCGGTGCGCAGAGCCTGGGCTCGGTGCTGCAGCTGTTTCGCCCCTTGCATCTTCTTGTCTGGGTGGGTCTGGGTGGGTCAGGGCGGTGGGGGGGGGGGGGGCGACTTGTTTGACTTTTTCTGGGGTTGGATGCTATTTGTGTTTTGTTTTTGTTTTGGGGGCTTCCCTTTAGATCGAGCCTACCAATTGGGGTACCAACAAACCACACTTGCGGTTGGTTGGACCGCTTGCGTTCAATTTGTTTGGAGAATTGTGACTTTCCGAAGGCAAAGCTTTTGGGCGTGGAGTAGCCACCACGGGGGCTTGCGGTGGGAGACATACGGGGGTGTTTTTTGTTTCTTTTCGTGCAAACCCTCACCCGAAAAAGTTTCTCGCCCCTGTAAGAACCCCATGGAAGAGCCTTTCTTTTTTGGTTCCCGAGGGCACCGAGTTTCTCGGCACGCCATGTACCTCACTTCCCCGGAGTGCCTCCCTTCGTCGTGGCGCAGGGAAACCAAAGGGGCCACCACCGGCGGGGCTGAAGACTCAGCATCCCATCGTGACAAGTGGGTTACCCCCAAACTCCCATAGCCACATAGCAATTTAGTGATGAGTTTCGTTAGAGAACCACTGACCACCTCCAACAGTGGTTGGACATAAATCCCCACCTGAGCGGGGTTTGCACAGGACCCGTGTCGCCCTTCATCGCCCCTTCAATTAGTCCTGAACCCTCAACATTCCCTCCAAAAATGGGGTTACAGCCCCAAAATTCAGGGGTGCAATGCAAGTTTTAAGGATAGTTTGAGGGTCCAGGTTCGTTCAGGGAAGCAACCCCGTCACCCCGGCCAGCGGCACCTCCCCGTGTTTCTCGGTTCAAGGGGCGCAGAAGAAAAATCGCAGGGGAAGAGCCGCAGCTGGCGGCTGGGGCCCGGGAGTTGGCGCAGAAGCTGGCGCGCCGCGCCTTCGAGCTTGCGCCGTGGACTGCGACGGTTCAATGCTGAGGGTGGATGTGCCTAGAGTCTCCATGACCCCTCGAAAAAGGGGTCATGAGTCATGAGTGTCATAACCCCTTCATTTTGGGCAACAACCCCATTTTTTAAGGGTCATGGAGACTTTAGGTGGTTTGCTGGGTAAGCGGGGGTTCCCCACTTACTCTCTATAAGAAAAAAGGGGAGTTCAAACAGCTTCCTTCGAGGTGTACCTTCCCCATTCTTTCCAGGAATCCTTCTTTCTTGAAGCCTTCAGAAACCTGGGGAAACTGGCCGGTTTTTGAAAAGAATGATGGTTGAAAAGAATGGGAAATCAACCCTTAGATTCCTAGGTGGTGTGGATGTCGTTTGCTGGGCAAGCGGTGGTTTCCCACTTACTCTCTACAAGAAAAAAGGGGGGTTGAAATCCCCACACCACCAATACAAACTACCAACTAGAGGGAAGTTGAGAAAGAGCACCTGAAAAGGTGTTTCTCAAAATGAGCAACCGATCCAACTCCATTTCCAAGTACAATCCGAAAAGGGCTCCGAATAGATCCGAGATTTTGCGACGGGCCCTTGTTTGAACTGCTTGAAAACGTGTCAGGCTGGGACTTGACAGGGACCTGACGGAGTTGGTGCGGTGTGCTGAAAAACCCCCTTGGAACAAGACTCGGGCTCCTCCACTGGATAAAGTTTGTGGTTGGAAAACATTTTGGTAAACCTCCACTGGATAAAGTTTGTTGGTGCAAAACCAGTGGTAAGACAGCAGGAGAAAAGTACGCAAAATCGGATGGCCAGGTCACCAGGTGAGTTGGGGTACTTTTCTGGGCCACTCACATGAAGTGAGCAGAGCGCCACTCCCAACTCAGGGGACTTTCAACAGGACAACAATCCATCAATCGTGGCATCCGAAATCGGAGCACCTGGAGACGTCTCAACATAGAAAACGCTCAAAACGTGGCAGGTGCGCAACTGTTGTGTCCCTTCAGTTACTAACCCTCAACAAAAGCACATAACCGTATGGGTCACCCAAAACGGCTGAACTATGCTGCCCTGTTGGAACAGCTCCCCTCCCAAGAAGGAACCAACACACATCCCCCACCAAACTTGCGAGGACGAAGAACCAACGGGGAAACCCCGACACCCCACTGAGCTTGGACAGATACAGCCAGCCATATCTCCCAGTCCGGTCCTGGACAAACTCGGGGTGAAGGCTCTTTTCTTCATGTGGCTGTGGTGGTAAAAACCGTTTTGGGATCCCATTTTGGGGTAGGCGCACCACCCATTTCAGAACCTATTTTTGTGGGGATTGGGATGTTCACTGAAATTACGATTTGGATTTTGACCCATGGCCAGGTGGCCATGTTCATCTTCCTTTCGTGGACACCAATTGTTTTTTAGTTGGTGCCCCGTTGCCCAAGTCCCCGGAACGAGGTTGTTACTTTTTGAGTTCCCTTTTAAGAACTTCTGTTCCAAAGGGTTCCCTTTCTGGAGACCGGTTCCCCATTTCTTCTTTGAACCAACCATATTTTAGGGCCATGGTTGTGGCATGTTTCGTTTTTTTTGGGCAACTTTTTCTGATAAGTGAGAATGAAATGGGGATGGCCCACTTTGGTATGCTTGCCCAAAGCCGAGCTTTGGACAGTTTGGTTTTCTTGGTTTCCATCTTTGGTTTAGACCCCCGAACGGGCAAGTTTGTATTGCAGTCGACTTTGGCAGACATGGGTTGTGTTTCTCCTGAGGGTATCCTCTTCAGGTTGGTTTCAACTTGGAAAGCAACAGGGAAGCCATGTTTTTTCGGTGTCGCCTTTTTGCTGCATACCCATTTGGGGTGGAAAACATCCCAAAATGGCGGGGCTTCCCTTGTGGTCTTCCTTCAAACCCCAACCCAAAAGGGGTCCCCCAAAGAAAAACCGGACGCGCCCATCGGTTTCCTTCCTCAGGTCAGTGCACGTGCCCTGCGGAGGCTCGCAGACCGCATCCCAGGCGCGCCTTGAGACCCAAAGCGTCTTGATCCATCCCAGGCGCCTGGATTTTTTGACCTTAAAGCTCACTCCCGGAGTTCATGGGCTTGAGAGTCATGCCAAACAAGAAGTTTGGAAGCTTTTTTGGGCACTCCACTCAGGAAGTGGTTCATGTACTTGAGTCACTTCTTGGGAGTTTGGACCCATTTTAGTGACAAACCGAAAGTATGGGAGCTGTTTTTTTTAGCCAAATCACTCCAGATATGGAGAACCCCACGAAACCTCACCTTTTGTAATGGGAATCCCGCAGCTAATTAAATAGAACCCCTGTCCGATTTGGACCCCGTTAAATGTGGGGATACAGACCAATGTTAGAGGCCCCCCCTACCCCGTATGAATAGGACGGGTTCTACTTAAAGATCTGGGGTCAACATCAAGGGAAACGTGGCAACACGCTAGCCGTGCCGTTCCTGAGACTTAGAGTTCAGAAGGATGTGTGCCATATTTCACAAGAACTTGGACATTTCGCAAGGGATCAACGAAACACAGTGGAAATCTTGTTGAAGAGGGCCACAATATTTGTTCAACATGGATGGCTTAACATCGAGACTCGTTGTTTTTGAGGAAGCTTTTGCGGCTGGTTTTAAAGGTAAAGGAACGCTTCTTGGCACCTTGAGCAATTGGATGGCCGTTGCGAGGTAGATCAAAGTGTGTTCCTTGAAGCATCATTGGGCAACAGCCTGTTGACATCCAGAGAGCAAAGGGAATAGCAGGTCGTTTTGGGTATCCCCTCTCCGGCAAATCGGTTGGGGTACTTCGACATGGACCTGTGGGTTACAACCTAAGAACAGCCCCTGGCTCGAGAACGGTACGAGGATGAAAAGAGTAGCCGCAAATCAGTGGTTGCACACGAATCCCGTTGTGTCCTGTAGTCCAAAAGGTTTTTGTCCCTCCACAAGCAAGGGTTTGAGAAGAAGTCCCCCCGCGAATTGGCAGCAAGACCACAGATCACAGTACTCGCCAGGTGGCCCGTCCCAAGACATGGTGGCAGCCTGAGGCGAAGCCGAAGTGCCATGGTCAAAAGTGCTCGTTGAATGGCCGTGTAAGGGCCAGCAAGGTAAGGGCTGAATAATCATGGGCTGGGGTACTTAAAATGCAAATGAAATCAAGCGAAGATGTTCCTTTTGATGAGGTAGCGCCTTACATGAAATGACCACGGCGCCTCAGAGTTTTGACCACGGCGCTTGACAGACTGCCGATTCCCAATTTTCGCACCTGCCATTCGCCTTCCAACTATTTAATTGGCTGCAGGGGCACGACTGACTGCCTTCAGCAAATTTTCGCGGCGCTCAGAGCCGGAGTTCATCTTGTGTTCTCACGGGCCTTTTACGATGTTTTCCCCGAGTGAGCACTTAGTGATGTGATGGGCTTCCCATTTCTGGATTCCCTCTTTTGCGGTGGCTTCAAACATCATTCAACAAGAAGTGCGTGATACAGGGAGCCCTGCACGCATCTCAATGGACATTCCATCACATCGCATTCGATTGCGTCAGTCCGATTTGGGTCTCGAAACGAGCCGGCCGCTGCTGACGGCTGACGCTGAGCATGTGCGGCGACCATTTGATTTCAAAAAGAGTCGGTTTTTGTCCGCTGGAGGGGTACCTGCACCCCGGCGGACCCGAGTTCAGGCGTAAATGCCTTTTGCCCAAAGATGCGAGGCTCTAGGCTTTACAAGGGCTTCAAATTAGCTGTCTCGTTGCGTGAACCATCCAGTTCCCTTCCTGGGTTTGTACGTAGCATCATGTAGCATCTCATGTTACAAGGGACAAAAGTCAAGGCCAGGGAACAACGGGGAAACCAGAAGGTTTTTGAGAGATGTTCTTCTGAATCCCCAAGGGGTTGTTCAAGGGGAGGTACCTTACGGCTCTCAGCTACCCCCCTTGAACCTACCCCTGGAATGAGATTCCGTAACGTCGAAGCTTTGTTTCGGGTTCCCAACCTCGGGTCGAGCTCAATGAGGCTGCAGGAAGCCTTCCTGGCAAATGGGGTCCGGTTGCACCGCGAATCCTGAATGTGTATTTCACCCAATTATATTTTAGTTAGTCATGTATTGTTATTGCTGTGTATACATATATATATATATATATCGTTCATTGTGGGGCGTATCCATGTTTATGATTTTGTTTTTTTTCCTGTGTTCCTTGAACAGAATTAATTACGTATTTGTTCATTGATCGATACATCGATCGTGCCGTATTTATTTTATATGTACTTCCGTTTGCTTTCTCTCCCCCTATTGGTTGTAAAGGGGTGTATATCACTGAACATATTTGTGAAGGCGGGAAAAGCAAATTGAGCCACAAACAAAACCCGGTAGATGAAGGTTAGCAAGGGACAGTCCTAGCCAGACACAGCTGCGGCCGCCTTTGTTTTTCCTTAACCGGATTTAGTTAGACGATTTGTTCCTGGACTTTCTACCTCTGTGGGAAGACCATTTGCCCATCCACTCGGGAAGTGAGTTTTGACTCAAATGGAGGTGGCAATCAAACTTTTCCAGAGCCAGCGTCACGCAGGTAGTCTTTGGCTCCCTTTTTTTGAGGTGCCATTTTGGTCTCCATGTTTTTGACCCACAGCCAACTGGAGGTGGCTCAATCCTTGCGTTTCCGTGAAGCTTTCGCGGGGGCAGGTACTCCACCGGGCCCAACCCGGTGCTAAGTCGCGCGCCCAGGTCTGAAATCACCACCCCTTGCGTTTGGCTGTTTTTTTTAGGGGGGACCCCGAAAAAATGGCGGTGTTGCTAGATTTACGAGCACGGAAGTCTAACTGGCCCGAAAAAGGCGAACTTGTTCAGGGGGGTGTTTGAGAGTGGTTTCCATTCAAGCCGCCATCTGAAGGGTCCCGATTTTTGAGGAGAATGTTGTTTGGTCTGAGCCCTCCTCTTTCCCAACCCCATTTTCGAGCCAGAAAGTCTGGACTTGCTTGAACTCCACTAAAGCGAGACCTTATCCGAGACCAAAAGAAGAACAGCGGGTTGGACACATGCGGGAACTAAGGCTGGTGCGACAACATCTTGGACTTCCAGGAAGTCCATGAAAGTGCCATGCCTGCCTGGGCTAGAAACCAACCAGGGACCCCTTTTTTCCAAGCCACCTGTTTTGTTGGTCTTCATTCTTTGCGTTGCGTGGGGGGTCGGAAAACAACTGCCACCCTCCAAACGATCTTTCTACTTACTGGGGAACATTGCAGGCAACGAGTGCCTTTCCTGTTGAGATCAACGTCACAGTTCACTACCTGCTTTGGGGAAACGTGGTACCGCCACCATGGTAGAACCGTTGGATACAGGCTAGAACTGCAGTTTCCCATGGGGGCATGGTTGTGAGCAGTGACACCCGTCCCATATGTCATGCAACGATATGCCTACTGTGGATGGACAGAATCTTGGGATGGATGGAAAGGCCTCGTGTCAAGCGTTTTGGATCACCCAGGGTTGCAACTCGATTTGCTGCCTCATGCCTTCCAACCGGTGATGGCATATAGGAGCGGCTCCAGTGCGTATGGCAACAACTTGAAGATCAGCACCTCGGTGTGGAGAGCGGACATGGTGTCAAAAAAGAAACAACTCTTCTTTTTGAAAGGGTAAGGGCATAGGGTTTGCTTGTAGATGTGTCGAAAAAGCCTTCGCAGTTTAAGTAGGGGCGGTGTTTCTTTTTGTTGGGATCGTTCCGCTCAGACTCGAAACATGCTCACCCCCCAAAAAGAACTGGTTCCCTTTTTCTACCGAAGGGGTCATTGCTTGCAAGCCTCACTGAATGGAGGTGCCGAAAGCTGCCAGCTTTGACTTTTCAAGGAGTTTCCACCAATCCCTTTTGGAAGACGACTGAATTGCTTGCTTGGAATATCTATGCAACCTGCACTTTAACCAGTGGAAAGGAGCCGTCCCGCGCGGCTGGAAGTCCATTCCGACTGCACCGTGAGGCTCCGTCTCGCCAAGCATGTGTCACCGGCTTTGCAAATCAAGGCCCTGAAGGGGCTGAGGCCACAAAACCAACGTTTGGATGTCCTTGGGAAATCCTCCTGGGTGTGCGGAACACTGTTCCCCACTGAGCCGCCGAACGTCTCGCGGACAAGTTCTGTGGCAGGGGTAAGCATCGGGGTGCCAATCCATGGGCCCAGCTGTCTGCCACCTGACCCAATCCCCAAAGCTGGACCGCCCGCCTAGCTGGGAAGGCAGTGGTATCCCAAGGCCTCGTGATGGCGTCTGCGTGCAGCCAGCTTACCGGTTCAAGGAACACTCACAAATTGACTCATGAACCAAGCTTGTCTTTCTCTTGTGCTGAAACAGTTTATTTGGAGGGTGCCCATTTTACGCGGGTTTTACAGGGTTTATACCCAGATTCGCTGCTCATTGATCTTAGGCTCCAGCTGCCGGTCATGGCGGGCCCGGACTTGTTCTTCTCCCAGTGGCTCTATGAGGCACGACAGACGCGCGCAGCTTCCTAGATGTCCAGCTGTAGGGGTTAAAAAAGAAGGCGAACGCCATGATGCAGGTGTTTCTTGCTTGGGGGCCCCTGAATTTTCAGGTGTCCGAACTCTTGTAGAGTTTGCAGATACTGACGGACCAAATCTGCGGGCTGTGGGCTGGGTGAAGGGCCCATTAAAGGCAGGTAGTTTGCCACAAGGCGGCATGCACTTCTATGCTGTGGGTTGGATCCAGGTTTCCGAGACAGGCCAAACCTTGGGTTTACCTTTAGGGGCCAAAAACCGGAATCCTGAGACCAGAGATAGCGTGCATGCAGTTTAGATATGTGCCCTTCAATCCACTCAAGAAGCGGGACCATGGACCCCCCGCAAAGATAAAGGATGAAAGAGGGCTCTGCAAAGAGGAGATGCCTCTCTTTGGATTGGAGATCGATGTTTTTTTTGGAGTTTTGCTTGCAGGACCCTGCTTTTCCGAGGCATGCACGCAAATAGATGATTTCGCCACGAAAGGGAAACCACGCCTGATTACCACGTCCGAAGTTGACATTCACATGGACCCCAACAAGGGGTTCCCCAAGAGGACATGTCTCTAGAAATGAACGGTTTGTTCTTGATTTCGTGTAAACTTTCAGGAGCGCATGAGTTGCCCCTTGTCCTCTGCTAATTTGATATATAGAAGTCCCTTCTCGTGGGCCCGGATTGCACAGGATTTCATGTTGGCCGGCCCCAGGAAGGTGTGCCAAGCAGCCCAAGCAATCATGCACCCGTTGTGTTTCACCCCTCCAGTATGCAAATGCTTCAGAAACTTTCTCCTTTGAGATCCTTTGAGGGTCCCTCAAAGTAAGCTCGAGGGTTCTCATTGAACGACTTTTGGGCATGTGTTTCCTTTCACAGTCGCTATTACTCAGTGCCTGAGGGCCAGAATAACCCGCACACACACAAGAGGTGTTGGACTTTACACTTGCTGGGCTCGGACCATTTCAGTGGCAAGCAACTTGTTTTTTGGGGGACACAAATCGGAGGCGAGATGGGGCTGGGGACTTTTTGAGGATGTCGCTTTGGGCCCAGCACAGCCCACGCGAACGCGAACTCGCCGCGCGGGAGGCGCATCTGACCTTTGCCAAGTTACGAGTGAACGCTCCGGGCTCGGGCGAGATTGATGAGATGCGTGGCCTGAAGTGTTCCTTTCAGTGGAATTCAATGCTAACCTCGGACAAAATGAATTGCATGTATATATATATATATATATGTATATGAATTTAAAAAAAAAAGGAAGCAACAACAACACAGAGGAAGCCAAAAAAAAGGTTCCCCCTCCGCCTAGGCCAAGCTCTCTGAATTCACTTTTTGGGTTTGGAAAAACACAAGCCGTGAAGGCGGGGATGGTCACAGCCGCGTTAACGGTGTTTGCGGCCATGCCATTAGGGATGTCAACAGACCTTGCAGAGCCCTGGTCACGTTTGCCGTTTGATTTCAGGGCGTTTGTTTGCCCTGTGATTGCAATTTCGTAGGATTGCCAACCAACATTTTTTTTTAAAGTGACAAAGAAGGGACACCGAAAGGAATCCCACGGATCTTCCGTCGAGACATACCTACTGCTGATTGTGCTCCATCACATTTGC